TGTTTTATCACAGCTGTGCCCCGGGTGGAATCGGTCACTGCCACAGCTAATGGTAGCCTCTGCAGACCGTTAGCTGACCTTGGTTTTTCTTCTGGTGATTAAGGGTCCCGCTTGCCGAAGGCTGGGGAGGCGTCACAGGCTCCTGTCCAGTTGCTCAGCAGCTATGTGGGAGCAGAAACACGGAGGCAGCTCTGGCTTGTGGACTCTCTTGAGAATGAAACCTGAACTTGGAGGTTGGGGGGCAGGGGCCAGAGGGGCCTGCTCAGGCCTGAGGATGGGAACTCCTGGATCCTAGAGACCCTTTTCCTTCATTTTCCAGAGGAACGAAAATGCCTATGCTACAAGGACCCCAGGAATTGCTGATGTAGCCCACATGGGTTTTAAATTTGGGTTTGCCTGATTGCTGAGGGCTTCATGGAGGAGGTAGCCTAGAAACTTGTCTTTGAAGGACTCACTGTTGGGCTTTAGAAGAAATGAAAGATGCAGGGCAGGCATTCCAGGTACACAGTAGGGAAACAGGAGGATGTGAAGGACAGAACCTGCAGTGGGGTTCTGACTCAAAGTGGGAGGTAGGCGGGGGGGGGGGCACATCACAAGTGGCTTCAATACCGGACTACAGACTGTATTTTTAAAGTTTTCCCTTTAACTGTGGAATCTATGCTGCACACCAAGCTCCTATCAAGGCCAGGCAGGTGGCCCCAGGCAGGGTGCTAGAGTAGCACACTGGGCCCTGGAGGGCTCCCCCCCACAGGGAGCTGCTCCCTGAGTTGGTGATTGGTCCCAGGGATGTTGGCCTGATGTTGTCAGGTGCTTGGTGTTTGCAAGGGAAGCCAGAGACCTGGATTTATATACGAGAACACAAAACTTGAAAAGACTGGTGCCTAGGCATCTGGAGCAGTTAAGGGTTTTGTCAGCAAGGGGTGGAGGGGTGGGGCCCCTGGAGCAATCCTGCCTGACCTGGGTTGAATTCCCCAGTAGAAATCTGTGCTGGACTGGGGGTGGGGAGGGGGTCCTTGGGGCAGGGACCATAGCTTCCTGGAGGCATCTGGTTTCCAGCAGCCTCTCTGCATGGGGCCCCCGGCATCTGGAACCACTTGTTGAGGCCCATTCCCCATTCTCTGGGAGCGTGGAAGTCAGACGCTCTTTGACCTTGGCTGTGACCTGAGTGGACCAGGAGAGAGGGGCTGGATCACCCAAGCATGCGGCCTGGCTCCAGCCTATCAACCCATCCATCAGCCACTCTGACAACCCTGCCCGGGCAAGGGAAGCTCTGACGGCAGCCCAGGATCCCCAGCCTGCCGCTGAGCATAGATTAGCATACATTATTTAATCAAGAATAAACCCTCGCAGCCTACCCCTCTCTGGGGACAGGGGAATGAGCTGAGGTATCAGCCGGAGGACTTTTCCTACTTAGAATCTTCTCGGAGATTTGGAGCCCTGAGTTGTGATTGGAAAGGCAAGTGACCAAGGGCAGGGCAAGTGGGTGGGCGCATGGAACAGAGCAAGCCAGGACCCTCTGCAGGGCCTAGAGGGCCCTGGAGTGGAACTTAGCAGGTCAAAATCCAGCTCTTGATTTCTACCCCCTCCCCCCTGAACTCTCTCTGGAGGGAATGGGGTTCTACTTGGTAGTGAGTGGAGGGGGCAGGAACATGGGGACACTTCGGGGGTGGCCAGGCGTCCTGGAGTGCAGTGATGGGCTGGGGACAACCAGAGTAGCCTGTAGGGCTTTGCTCCTGGGGGATGGAGTATGAGTGTCAAGGAGGAGAAAGAGTCATGCGGCCAAAGCCAGGCAGGGTTCCCCAGTGTAGACGGCAAAGCAGCTGGCCCCTGGGGTTCTTTACAGTTGCTGAGAGGGTGGCCAGAGTCAGCACTCAGTGGGGAAGAGGGAAGAACAGATTCCCAGCCAAGGAAAGTGTCAGGAGACTGAGAAGAGAGGGGCAGGACCAGGGAAGCCCTAGCGGTGGCCTGTAAACAGGTGGGAGGCTGAGGGTGGCTGTCCAAGGACGTCACATGGGCCTGAGTGAGTGTGGAAGCTGCACCCGCCCAGTGACAGGGTGAGGCGAACCCCACCAGGAACAGGTTGTGGCCGGGCTCTGGGTAAGTGCTTTATGGGAACCAACGCCTTCCACTTTCCCGGGTGGTTCTGTGTATTATGTGTCTGATGCGGATGTGGTTTGTCCGACCACATGCGGCCAAGATGGGTCCAGGTGTCTGGCACTAGCCCACAGCTCTGCTCCTCTGGGGGAGCTCGGCCCCCACTAGTGTGGCCTCTTCAAAAGCAAATGCTCCATAGTGTGAGAGGACCCTTCACAGAGAAGGGGGTGGACAGGGAATGTGGCAAACACCAGGCCAGGGCAGCCCCAGGTATGGCCTCAGCATAGACAGGTTGTGGCACATCGATGCCCTTCGTGATGACACCAGGGATACAGGAGAGAGGACACAAGCTCCTGGGGCAGGCGTCTCCTCTCCTCCTGAGTCCTGGACAGAAAGTCATCCCTGCTCTGCATTTCTGGGTGACCAGCAAGTCAGCATGGTCTATGACCACAGCAGCCAGTCAGGTTGGGGACATGCGCGCACACACACACACACACACACACATTCACTCACACACGCTCATACACATACACTCACACACTCTTACACACGTACTCATGCATCGATAAAACACACACCCACACACACACTCATCCCACCAAACCTCCTTCTCAGAGGCTACGTCCTTACCCTTGCTGGGACAACATCATTCCATCCACGAGATGTAATCACTGCACACAAACACACCCACACATGTAGCCTCATCCATTAGCAAGCACACAAACACACCCACTTGTCATCCAATGCGTGTACGCGAGCACATCCCCAGTGGTACTCTCTGAACATAAACACGTGCTCACTCATCTGTTTTCATTCGCCCAGCATCTCCTGAGCTCCCGGCATTTCTTTGTAGGGCCACCTGTCAGATGTCCTGGGGGACGGAGGAGCACCCAGCCCTGATGGGTGGGGAGGGCCACCAGAAGAGAGCAGGGTTAAGCCAGGTCTTGAAGGATGAAGAGGGCTTTGCCTGGAGAGTTGGGAAAACCATGCATGCATGCATTCATTCATTTGTTCTTTAAATTTTGCTTTACATTTGATTTTTATTTGTTTGTTTGGGAATTACCTGTTTCCCCCAGTAAAGTAGAAGCTCCACCAGGGCAGGATCTTTTTTGTGTTTATTGCTTTGTCTCCGGTGACTTGAACAGGATCTCACCTACATCTGAGCTCTTAATAAATGCTGTAGAATGAATGAATGAATGCATACTTTAATGCTCCTTGAAGATTCTGATGGAGGTGATTTGGCTCATATTTGATGTAATGGGTTGTTTCAAATGTTCACAAGGAAGAGGAACTTTTCTGCCCCTTTAAGGAGAAGAAGATTAAGTTGGTGGGGGTTTTCACCTGGAGAGAGTAGCTTAGAAGAAGTGAGTTAGGCAGAGCTGAGGCAAAGATACTGGTGGGTTTCAGAGCTATGGACGGGGG